TTCGACTTGTGTGTTACGATGATAAATGATCAACTAATCTTCATTCATTCAATCAATCAATCTATCAATTGATCAAATGAATGAATGAATGAACGAACGAACGAATGAATGAAAAATAAACAAATGAATTATTAAATGAATGAATGAATCAATAAATCAATCAAGGAATGAATGAAACAATGGACTAATAAATCAATCGAATAATTTATCAATCAATCAGTCAAAAAATAATAAAACATAAAATTATCTGGAAAAATATTTGCTTAAAATGAAATTTCTACAATATAAGTTTTTGAAGCTCCTAACAATTTTCATTTGACGAATTTTGTACCACTGGAAACGAGATACGAAAAACAATACAATGTAGAAAGAGTGATACACAAACAAAACACTCCACAATTATACACAATAAAAGCCAACAGAACGCGACTCAACTCAGAGAAACCGTGACGAAATTGCATAAAAAGAACGCATACATGCACGGCAGGCAAGACATCAAAAACACACCGCAGGACACAAAACACGACAAAGAACACTCACTAGGCGGCACAAAACACTACAAAGTGAAAATCAAGAAAACACAACACGACAACCCAAAATGCACTTACTCAAAATGATACACGACAACTCACACACTTGACAAAAAACATCAAGCAACAAAATATTAAAAACGCTAAAAAAACTCCACACGACAAAAAACACTACACTAAAAAACACGACCTCAAAGGACAAAAAAAACCACAAAACAACAAAATACAAATGCACACCTCACGACAACGTAAAATTCAACAAAACCCAGCCCTACACCGAACAGTGAAGAAAAAACACTACAAAACAGAAAAAATTGCAAATTAACATAGCACAACAAGACACAAGGAGAAACGACGCTACACTACACCACACGACGCCACGCCACACCACACGACACCACGCCACACGACGCCACACTACACCACACGACAATAATGAAACACCACACGTTGCAACAAAACGGCCGTAAATTCAAATTATCCACATTATGAATAAAAATATTAATTTGATGCCTTTTAATCCTACCATATTTATTTTTTACCTTATTGTTATTATTTTATTATTAGTGTTATTATTTGTTTCTTTTATTAAATATTTTGAAAATTATTATTTTACAACAAAAAAATTTCATATTTGTGATCTAAATCGTTTTTCTAATGGTGAATGAGTGAGTGAGTGAGTGAGTATCCATCAGTGAGCGAGCAAATAAGTGAATGAATAGAAGATTGACCGAATGAATGAATAAACGAATGAAAAAATAAAAGAAATAAAAAACAAAGAGACAGATGGATGTTGAAAAAAAAAACAAAACTTAAGAATAAAAATGAATAAATTGAAAAAAAAAATTAACTTTTTCCTTTTCCGTGCATATCCATCTAAATTACTATCAATCAACTATTGTAACAAAATGAACCAACAAAATAAATTGAAGGAAATGGATGAATGAATGAGTGAGTGAGTGAGTGAGTGAGTGAGTGAGTGAGTGAGTGAGTGAGTGAATGAATGGATAAATGAACGAACGAAGGAACGAATAAAAGATGAATGATGAATGAACAAACGAACGAACGAATGCTAACGAGTAACTAACTTACTGGCTGACTGACAAACTGGATAAATGAACAAACCAACGAATTAAGTAAAAAATTGAAGAACGAACGAAGGAATGAATGAACAAACGAACGAACGAATGAATGAACGAATCAAAACGATAAACGACAGACGAACGAACATGCGAACATACGTGAATGAACAAAATTGGAAAAAGTGAACTTTAAATTATAGGAAAAGTTTCGACAGAAGTGTAGGTGAAAGACGACTAATTAATTCAATTAGATAGCGAGCCATTTATCGCCATAGTCGTCGGCATCATCATCACCATCACCATCGTCATCATCATCGTCGTCCTCCTCATCATTGTCATCATCATCACCATCATTCTCAACATTATAATAATTATAATAATAATCGCATTATAATAATTGTCGTCGTCATCATCTGTATCATCTTCTTCTTCATCTTCTTCATCATCATCAACTTCATTGTTAGGTTGTCATCATTGCTTTTATCACTATAGCCACATCGCTACCATCATCACAATCCTCACCATCGTCGTCGTCATCATCGTCATCATCATCAGCATGACTGTGGACAAAAAATTTAATGATTTGAGAAGCACAAAGGCGTTAAATTCATTCAACTAATTAGCAAACTGATTTTGTCGTTCGGTTTGAAAGACATACAAACACACGCATACAAATAAACAAACAAACAAATATACATACATACATACATACATACATACATTAATACATACATACATACATACATACATACATGCATGCATGCATGCATGCATGCACGCACGCACGCACGCACGCACGCACACACACACATA